GGGGGGGGGGGGGGGGGGGGGGAGTGTGTGGCAAATGTGGGTATGTCAGTGGAAGAGTGGTCACAAGGAGTGTAAGAATTCAACGATCGATCGACATCGAGATCGGCCGCATTCCGTACTGGGAATAAATGTCTACGTATGTGTAATATCACTGTTACCGAGGCACAACAGAAGCACACATCGTCGATATTTTATTTGGCGACGGATGCCATTGAACGTTGTGTGTACACTGGTATGCGGTCTCGTATCGCCTACCACCACCCCCTCACCCCTACAGGCGTGCATGAAGCAGCGCAAAAAAAAATATATAGTAGAAAGCATCATAATGAACACTAAATATTACAAAAATTCCCGAGTCAACAATTTCAATTTATCATGTCGTGCGGTTGCACTTCTGCAGTTTTCAACGGCATGAGAGACATTTATATGGAGCACATATACTACAGAGGGATAAAAATTCTGATTATCTGATGGAAGTTGCAGCAGCTTAGACGGAACATTTTTCGCTGCATTGAGGGAGCCATTCATGAATTGATGCATCAAAAATTTGATTGAATCGTAAAAATTCCATCGGAATTGATTGAATACTGGGCTGGTGAGCGTGGGATACGGCCATTGATGTATTCTTCACTTGTGTATTTTATTTCTGCTGAATTTGATGTGTATGGAATGCTAAGGCCATTTAATGGTTTTCGAGTACGTGGAAAAGTGAGTGGGGTATTCTTTTTTTATTTTACGAGTGTAGGCTTTGAATTCTGGGAATATTGATTGGGTAAATCAAATAATGAGGAAATATTTGAGGATCGTGGGACTACGCTCGGACCTTTGACGTCAGATTTGGGTATTTGAGTGAGTGATGTGTCGTCTGCTCTGTGTAATTTATTTCCGTGAATGGGTGGAGGATTTTAGGGGAATTCGTAATGAATTCGAGTGGAAAATGAATGGGAAAAATTAATTTTGTGGCGAAGGGGTAATTGTAATGAGTGTAATTTGACATTTCCGTTGATTGTTCTCATGATTGCGGTAATTTCACGTTTGAAAATTCCCAGCTTTTGAGTATGATTTTTAGAAATTCAAACTCCGGGTCAATTTATCTCATTTCGGTTTCCAGTTTTTCGCGTTTTTCTGTATGTAGGAGACAGACGAGACCAAAGATTTTCATGTTCACTGAAGCTGGGAACTGTCTCTCAAAAGTATTGTCTCGTGCATTCACGGAAAAAATTAATTTTATCACGTGAATTTTAGTTGAAAATTTGTGTAAAATTCCGATAAGGGAACCGATAAGGGATACATGCAGAAAATGGGTTAATATTCATGTTGAGCCAACGACATATTTATTGGTGATGAAATAGTCATATATGTTTCGACCAAAAGAAACGTTAAGGCACGATGATGTGACAAGTATGTAGGTTTATGTCACAAGGGACTTTTATGACCGTCATAAAGATGTAAAGAATCCGCATTATGCGAGAATCACGCCCACTCTTTCAAGATACGATAATGGGATGGTCGAATTTTCAATTATTATTTTCACTAAAAATGTACGCAATTTTCGTTAAGAATGCCATTTGTTTGGAAATTCGATGACACAGTGATTACTAATTTCACATGATTTCACGGAGATCCGCAAAAAAGTGTACAATAAAAATTTTGCCATCTCCCTTACATTCCGAAATATTCATTGAAAAGTGGCTAATAGCCTAAATTGACTTGAACCATTTTACCACTTCGCTACTGAAATGAATGGTCCCTCGTAGGAGAATCATATTCATAATAATAGAAATTAAATTTTTAAAAATCGCGAATAATCCACCAAAGTTGCATTCCAAAATACCGTTGAAACCACAGACATACATCAACCGAGAAGATTTTCCTGACTGTAACGAGCTTTTCATACAACAGTGCGCAGAGCTGCGAAAAAATTTACCATTATGTATCGACTGAAGAATAGTTTTGCATGTTACTCCAACATTCATATTTCCCGTGTATATTTTTTACCTTCGACTTTCATGTACATAAAACCATTGTTGCACATTCTTTTGTCATCTCTGCTGCATAATGTGGTGTATATCTTGGGTAACGTGAAAAGTTTGTGCGAAGCCAAGTGAAATCCGAGTCGGACGGACTTTGCCTCAACCTGAGGAGTGTAGGGAGTAGATGGTGTGAGTGGTTAGAGCTGGCGCAGCGGATAAAAAACGAAAGGTACGTGTAAAGAGAAGAAATAAAGTGTAGAAAAAAGACGGCAAGAAAAGTCGATCCTCGATAACCCAACAAGAGCGGGGATGGCGACCGGAACAGAAACCACAGTTAACGCGATTTTCAAGTAAACCCGTACCGGCTTCTCGACTTGCTCCATTCGTGGTCCACCTGGGGTACCTATCTCGATCCACTTTCTTTTATTTACGTCTACAATGGCTTTTTTTTCACATTCTCCAGGGCTTTTTTTTCACTCCTGTCTGATTCCTCTTTTTAGCGCTGTGAATTCATGTAGAAACAAATGGCAAGCATTCGCTGGGTCAACATGTGTACTCATTCATCTGTATGACGGTGTAAGAGCTAATTATCTTTGAAGCGTCTCACCCAGAAATTCCATTCGTGCCAGACTGCACCCAGCAGTTGAGAATATTTCAATTTCAGTTATTGGCGATATTGGATGGGCTCTGATTTAATATCTTGCTTTTTGTTCATTGGGAGTGATTACGCTTCGGCAGGGGTTTGGGTGGATGCATGAAGAATCATGGATAGCACGGAGAGAAATTTTCTGACACGGAGACACTTAACCCATGACATTTAGCCCTGACATTTTCAATTTCCGAGGTAAATGCGTATCAACAAAGCCTCATACAGTTCTAATCGGCATTGATGTTTCAATACACCCATTGAATTGCAAATTCCTAATGAAAAATTCAAGTGAATGCCCGACAATTCAGACGAACGTCATCTGCTATTTTCTTTAATAAAAGAAATTTCAGTCATCAATGATTCTACATTCAATGTTCGCTTTGATTTCCGTGATTTGCACTAGAGGAAACTATTTTAATGTAGGAAACTATTTTTCACGCGCGATTTTTGGCAAATCGCAACCAAGTCTTCGAGGTCACGCGATGCATTTACGGATATTTCACTCCGGATATTGCACTGCCGAACGCACACAAACTCTTCAATCATTTCTGATTGAACTCCTGTCAAACATTGTGTGAAGGGTCACGTTCACGTATATTCGTTTCCTTAATGTCTCCTAGAATGTACTCCATAATTCGAATTACATTTGAATAATTGTGAGGCAAAATTCGTACGCAGAAAAATAATGTGATAACGGTCGCGCATGCGTGGCTATTAATAAGGTTTTTCCGATAAAATTCGTCCTCTAGTTATATGGAGAAAATTATTTGGTCAACAACTAGTTGTTACATTTTTCAAAATTAACAAGTTGTTGGTAAATTTCAATAACTAGTTGTTAGATTTTATCAACTAGTTGTTGAAATTCAATAATTGATTGGTAATTCATTTTTTCAACTACTAGTTCGTCAATTTCAACAAGTTGTTGTTAAATTTCAATAACAAGTTGTTAAACTTTACCAATTAGTTGTTGAAATTCAATAACTGGTAGGTAAGTCATTTTTTCATCAACTAGTTGGTGAATTTCAACAACTGATTGATAAAATTTAATAACTAGTTGTTGAATTTCAACAACTGATTGATAAAATTTAATAACTAGTTGTTGAAATTCAACAACTAGTTGTTGAAAAAATAAATTACCAACCAGTTATTGAATTTCAACAACTAGTTGTTAAATTTGACCAACTAGTTGTTGAAATTTAATAGCTAGTTGATAATTCATTTTGTCAACAACTATTCGGTAAATTTCAACATTTCACATTTATCGAAGGGTTTTCCCCTCATCCCTTCGATAAAATGTTACTAGGAAAATTTTATCTATACATACTTGAATGAATTTGAAACATCGCATTTGAAGACACCGTCAGAAAGACACCGTCTCCCACTTTCAGGGAAATTCATGAAAAATTCTAAATTTTCGAAAATCATCACAAAAATCAGATTAACCAACATATCTCTCGTAATCATCTTTTAACTGCGACTTAATGACATTAAAACAAACATTTTAAGCTATAACTGAATTCATGTGAAGCATGATATTCGAAGATATCTCCGGAATTTTCATTTTCAAAAAATGCTGAATTTTTTCCAATTTTCAAATAAATCAAAATAACGATTATTGCTATCGCCGTCTTCGAACTCGGTCAAAAGGGCCTCCAAACAAATTTCTTAAATCATCATTCAATCAATTCATAATTTTTCGAAAAAATTTGTGATTTTCGAAAAAATTCTAAAATTAAAAAAACTCACCGATGAATTGAATTTTAATTAATAACCATTAAGAGGGCTCAATAATACTTGCATTATCAGACAAACTCATTACGTTTTCCAATTTCCCAACAGAATTTTCTCCCCCCAATTCTCCAATAAATCCGATCGCACATAAAAATAAAAATAAATGATAACACAACTCACCAATGGCGCAACTGATGACGATAATCGCAATAGTCTTCATCGTTGAAATAACTCGATATAATAAATAAATAAATAAATAACTTTCACCAGGCTATAACTCAACAAAGATAAAACTCCTCAGACACTTTGGCTGTGACAATTTTGTATACCTCCACGTGAGAGCAATTGTTACCGGTCACATTATATCACAAAATGACCGGAACACAGTTCGCGGGAATGGAAGCACCGCTCGGTGCCACGCAACACTTAACAAACTTCCATTATTACACCGGCTGATGGTGCAATTAAGACTGCGAACGACCCAAGCTGTCGGGCGCACACAGCAAAGTTAACACTATGGAACTTCTTCCACCTCTTTTCCCTTTTTTCTTTGCCAAATGTGTATAATATGGACACTTCGGGAGATTTCAAACACTTTCCGGACTTTCCTTTCCACTTTAATTGTATTTTTCCCGCCTCCTCAGTGATTCGATGACGATTGGGTAATTTTATTAATCCAAATTAACAAAATCATCATTTTTTCCTGAAAATAAAGAAATAAATAATGTATTACATGCATAAATGAATAAATCGATTAATTTATAGAAATAAAATTCTACAGTGGAGCACGGAGCTCATTCCGTCGTAAGTATGAAATTATCTCGACAATAAGTGTTTTTATGAGCGACAGTTAGAAGAACTTGTTTCAGAAAATTGTCAGGTGTCGACAATAAATCTTATTTTTTTCAAAAATTTTTGTTTTACTGCACGAGAGTTATCAGAGAATGCGAACGATGCTTGAAGTAGTGTCATTTAATCTGTTGCTGCATTGTTAGATAAATTCGGAAAGTCAGCAAAAATTTAATGGAGGCGAGAATCCCCCAGATCACTCCAATTGTTCGAAAATAGAAAACCTCAAAAATCGGGAAAATTAGAGGCCACGAAAATTCAAATTTGAATCTGAAATTCATCAGCCCGAAGAGTCTATCATCTTCTCTTCACTCTGACGGAAAAAAATCTTCAGCTATTCGTGCGTTAGAGCGAAGATGAAAATTCGATTGCTAAGAATCAGTTTAAGGTGTTTCGCGTGTAGATCACTCGGGGATGAAACGGAAGGGGAGTCTCATTGTTCTCGAGCCCTGGTTCAATCGCTGAGCACGAAATTTTCCGATATTCAAGCAACTATTTAAGTGTGCATTTGAAAATTTTTTGAATATTGATTTTATTTATCAGATTGATTCATTTTTTTCTCATCACCAACGGGTGTCAAATAATTTTTATTGGATGTTTTTCTAATTATTGAAATAATATTAAAATGCGTCTCGAGTTGGTAAACCTGTCGAGTCTGATCTTTTTGTGAGGGCGTAATTGCCCCGAAACTCATAATTTTCCGAATCATTTGTTCAAATAACGTTCTTATGAAATATGAAAAAAATCTGAAACTTGTACGTGTTCTCAAGAAAAATTTGATTTATCACCCACTAGTTTTTCCTCAATAGTTCATCATTTTTTTTGGGTGCCATGAAAATTTCCCTAGTTGCGAGTAGGGTAACCTCGGAGATTATCGCTGAAGAGATTACAAAAACATCAAAATTTCATTATTTTTCTTCTTGAGACAGATGTGAAAAAAATCTACAAAAATTCTCAACGATGCAGCACACTCAGACGTTTCTCCTATGAATTTTCCAATTTTTTCACCTTAATCCTCGCTTAACAACGAGAAAAAAAATCGATGGGAACTTCAATCGAGCGGATTGAACCGATAGCAAAAATAATCGCGTTCTATTTTTCTGTAACCGAAATAATTCACTGCATGCGCAAAAATTCACACAAAGTTGGAATATTCGGAATCGCATCACTGGCCAAAGACTCTATTTTTAGTTGGCACGTATTTTTCACCGCCTACGTAGATAGGAGAGACTTACGAGTGAATATAAAACGCAAAGGTGAGGGTAAGGTCACGGGGGACTCGTAGGTAGGCTCGCGTATGGTGCTCCATCGTGATTCATTCAGGTATCAGTTATGTTGTTCTCTCAGCTTTCTGGTCTCATCCTCTCTCTATTTTAATAGTTTCTTCTACTCTTCCTCATCTTGAGGAATTACACAATCGCTGATGTTTCGGGATTTGGCGGAAGAAATCATAACAGATTACCCAACTGATTGATCGTCGCCGAGAAATATGTCATGTTATTCAAATAGAAACATATGTGTCACTTGTTCAGGCGATTTAAATTATTTTGCGGTGAAACACATTCCGTTATTGATTCAAATCCTCATGTCATCAGTCTGACCAATTGAAGAAATATGTTTTAATTCCCGGAAAATTTATTGCGCTGTTTACAAAACTGTCATAATGTGTAACAGTATTTATTTCAATGAAATGAAGAAAATTGCTGCACATGCGGAAAAATATATATTCTGAAAATATTTTATGTATGGAATTGGTCTGATTTATATATAAAAGTTATGTAAAATATAACATTATATATGTTTCATATATATTTTATAGAAATTTTATATATATTCGAAGAATTGCACGGATAGAAATATTCAATAAAAATTACGTATCTTTTCCGTAATTCCGGAGCAAAATCTAGTTGTAGGAAATTTTACGGAACTGTCAGGTAATTTTTACATAAAATCACGGAATTTTTCCAGAGCGTTCCGTAATTATCACCTGAATCTGCTGTGAAAAATTACGATAACGTCACTTAAATTTTCTGAGTCGATTCCGTAATCGGTGAGCGAACTGTGAGTTCTGTAATTTTAACTTAACATTTCTCTCCGTGTGGCCTATATTATATTTATGTGTTTTAAATGTTTTTCCATGGGGGTGTTCACGCCTCAATCAATTGATTTGATTTCACACAAAAAAATTTGAATGTCAACTACGCTCAAAATCACCGTAAATTATGATTACACTGAGGGAGAAACTATAAATTCTTAAACGAGTCTTTTTTGCGCCAACAAAATCTTTAATTGAAAATTACCAAAAAAATCTCAAACAGAAATAATTGCTCTGTTTTCAAAACCAACGAAATATTTCTCAAGATGCGGATCATTCCTACAAGACGGTGCCTTTTCAGGATGAAAATATATTTTATAGAGGGAAGTTTATCAAGAAATATTTTGATTTTCATTGATAGGGCTTCTAGCACTTCAAGATGCAATGTCAAATTTTTTCAAATTTTTCTGAGGCATTACTGCTGCGTAATTTAAAAAATTGGAAAGAATGCAGTGCGGCGCTCACAGCGCGACCGACGGAGTGCTAAGGTACATCTTAAGACAGTATCACCCAAAAGTTAGTCCCTATGAATTTCCGGGAAAATTCTAAATTACTCAATTTATTGTATTCTCAGGAGTTATTGAGTTTTGACATTTTATATTATTCTCATGTTGTTGATAGACGCAACAATAACTGTTCAAATCAAATGGGAAATTAATACAGCTGTTCGGAAATTATTATACTCCAGCGATTTAACGAAATTTTCATTTTTCCGAGTTTAACATCGCAAAAACCATGTGCTATAAAATTTTACAAAAAATTCGCGGCATTAAGAATTGATCAATCTGCCACAGATTCATTTTTTAACAACATTGTAAGAACCGTGTTCCCTAGTTTGGCCTGCGCCTCGCGTGCCAGCAGTCCGCATTTCATTATTTATTATCTCCTAAACTGTGTAGTACAGCTGTTAGAATTTTTTCAATAGCCGGGAACTATGATGAACATTATTTACGAAAAACATGAGAACAATCGTAAGAAAAACCTGTTTTCTCGAGATATACCTTAAGCGTAAATTACGTGTAGCAAACCGCAAATTACGCTTAGCAAAACATAATTTATGTTTAGGTTTTTCTCCGCGTTCTCGTGACGAAAAAACAATCGTCTCTTTACGGTCTAAAAATCACTTTAGGCTCCTCTACCTTTTCTGCGCACTGAGGCTCTCGAGAAAAAAGAACAACGTAATTATCTTTTCATTTTCATCGTACGTACTGAAATAATTAATAGTAGCTAGTGGAAATGATGGTTAATTTAACTCGCCTTTGGGGTAAATTAATGTGAAATTGCTTTGAAGGAGATCCTTTCAACAGAAAAATAATTTTATTTGGTAAAACGTGTAATTATAAAACTCCATTCGTTTTCTGATATTCAAATAGTGATAAAATAAGCAAAACTGTACAGAGAATGAATTCATTCTTGTGGATGTTCTAAATTTAATCTGTCGTTCTGTCCATCAGGAACTACATTATTATTTGATTTACATTATTATTATTTGAATATAAATTAATATACATATAGGACTGACAATTATCGGAGATGAATTTCCGATAAAATCCCCAATATTATTGACATTTCCAAAGTTCCACAAATCGACAGATATGATAAACTGTGAGAAAACGAATGTGAGACTTCGCCGGTATACACCAGATAAAAATAACGCGCAATTTTCTTCGGTTGAGCCGGGTATCGCTCAGGTAGTACACTCCCACGTATCGAGAAGAAATAATGAATTAAAAAATTGGAGCTGAATCAACACTTGTCTACTACCTCGTAGAGCAGCAGCGTAAACACTGAAGAAACCTCTAACGTGTGATGATACAAACATGATAAATGATTTTAAAAAACACGCACGAAAAAATTTAATAGAAAAACCTAGCGAATGTGCTGGATAATTCTACAGGAGTTCTACTGAACTTTCTATTAGTTTATGGCGGATTTTCTTGAAATGTTCAATAGACAATATTTTATAGAAAAAGTCAATAGAATTGGGATTTTCTAAACAACTTATTCTATTCAGATATTTTGTATAGAATTTCCTCGGCTCAAATTTTCCAATTTTTTTTGCTTCCGAATGGAATTCTATTGTAATCGAAGCGATCGGTCGACAATCATTACATTCGTAATATTTTGTAATATTATTAGAATTTGCACCTTTCTATTACTATGATTTTATTATCTTACTTGAAATTTGAAAATATTAAAATAATTCATAGTTTAAGTTTTCCGTTAACTATTGAGTAAATAATTCTAAATTTCATGACAGGATCCTCTTGAATTATCGAGAGGGAGAAAAATTCGAAATATAGACAACGATCCTGACTCATTTATAAGCTGGATGATTCTCCAAAGAAAAATTATTGATGAATTGCGAATGAAAATCAGCACAACTCCCAAAACTGCAGTCTCTCGCAGCTAGAGACATGGAATACAGCAAGAAAATCGTTCAAGCTATTCCACCAATTTCCACTCTGACCTCAAACAAACACCAAGATATTTACCATCCCGAAATAGAGTACCTGACGTACGATGGAATTCCCTGGGAAATCCTAAAACCCGTAGCGAACTTCACCGTTACCCTTCCACCAACCCACACTAACTCATCGTGTGAACTATCCCATACCATTGGACTTCCGGTTTGGGGGGAAAATTTTCCCATTTCCCCAAAACTATCGTAATTGGGTACGATCAGGGATTATCGTGCTCAGTGAGTTGGATTTTGGTAAATTAACGAGGAGAGGATGCTGAGTTCCATTGTCGATCTT